GAGGAGCCCGGCGGTCGGGGCTGCCCCTGCCAGCACCCGCCTGGAAACCGCCGGCGGGCGGGAGGAGCGCGGCAGCGAGCGAGCCTTGCGGAGCCCGGCGGGCGCAGCCTGCCCTGGCGAGTCCATGCGGCGGCTCGTAGGAGCTTCGAGCCCCCCCGCCCCGTGTGCTCCGTAGAGTTCGCGTAACATTAAAACCGAGGCAGAACACGTGAAAAATAACGCTTCTGAGTGCTGCGGTGGCTTCGCTGAACTATCCCGCCTTAGTTTGCGAAGAAGTCCGACAGCCGAAGGCTCTTTTGAAGACTTTAGGCGGGTTTAGTTTTTTCATTCGATGTGTGCGCTTCGAGAACAAAAAACTTGCAGTGTTATTTGCAGAAATCGTTTATTAGTGGGCATGCAACCGTATTTATATTTCCAGTGCATGTCCCAGTCATACAAGTCACTGCGGTAGAAAATAGTCTGTTACAGGAATCTGTTTTTCACTGGCATGGGATGGATTAAAAGATTTACCGAATCCCATCCAGTGCTAATTTCTGCAGTTCTGTTCGCTACCTTATGTGCAATCCTTTGACGTAGAAAAGAAAAACGAAAACGTTCTGTGCCGTGAATTCTGTGCGGGTCAGGAAAACAGAACCAGCTTTGTCAAGTCTGTACTTTTAAAAGCTACTTCATTTGTGTGAGTTTTGTGTGTGTGTGTGTGTGCGGGGAGGTGTCTCTTTTTTTTTTTTAAGATATCTTAACAGTAAGAGTACCTATTTTGTAATACCGGGGGTTCTTTTATTATTTTTAAAATCTGCAGGTTGCAATAAAAATAATAGACAAAACAAGGTTAGACCCGAGCAATCTGGAGAAGATTTATAGAGAAGTTCAGATAATGAAGCTTTTGAATCATCCCCACATTATCAAGCTATATCAGGTAAGAGGTCAGCTTTGAAGTGCAGCATGCAGATGAGATATATTTGTGCTCTTCTTTTGCACATGATTTTAAATCAAATATTTGTGGAGAGAATGCATATTGAAATACTTTTTTGAAAAACACTTAAACTGGGTTTTTTAAAAGTCATTCGTCATTCTTTGAATAAGGTTCTGGTATGTTAGACAGCTTTTTGACAAAATGCACTGTAAAATTTATAGTTAAAACCAGGCTAAAGTTTGTTTCAGAGCAAGGAACTGATTATCTGAGCTTCTGTGATTAACTTTCCTAACTCTTCTGCTTTTCCTGTGTGGAGGAGTGGAACTTCTTGCATGCTTTTGCTAAGGGGAAGATTTAAACTCACGTAGGACGGCAGAGAAGAAAACACAAAAGCTGAGTTTGCTCTAAGTGGAAGGGATTTAAAATCAACAACAATTAAACCAAACCAATCTAAGTAGAAAATCTTAAGTAGAAATCTAATCTAAGAGTTAGAATTCTAATCTAAGTAGAAAATAAAAAGCCAGTAAATGTTGGTATCTTAGAATATGTCAAAAAACTACCTGTTTGGTTATTCTGTTCCGGTTTGTGTAGTTTTGAAAGTGAATAAATATCTTCCCCCTCATAGAGTTTCACAACGTGAATTTTGATTTAGATCTGTTCAGTTTCTGCACTGGTGGGTATTTTTAACAGTAAGAACAAATTAATGTGTTTGCAGAAAACAGGATCACATCTGTCTAGTGAGCAAGGACTGCTTTGCAAATTCAAAATATTCCATCTAATTAGCATTTGGTGTAAGTTCCTCTTAATCATCTTAAATCGTGCCATGTAGATTTAAGAAGAAGATGAGGCATCACGGTCTGTCTGGACCTGTCTGGAAGGGCAGGGGGGGAGAGAGCAATAGGTGGGTGAAGCAGCAGGTCTGAAAGTCCATCTGCTGTCGTAAAGCTGCAATCTTACCGTTGGGTTTGTTAGCTTTAAAAAAAAAAAAAAAAAAAAGTTTAATTAGTGTGTAAGGCTGAAGAGCCAGTAAGGCAGGTGCTTAGGCAAGGCATTATTTTTAAAGACCTTGACACACATGAAGTGCTTGATATTTATAGTATTAACAATCATAACAAAAATTATTCTGTGTTAACATCTGACGTCATTGTTGCCCATAGGGCAGTATAGGACATACAGAAACATTCTAACAGTTCAGTTGATTTCATTTCGGTGGAATGGTGTGGGTGAAAATACATTTCAAAGCTTTTAGAAAAGCAGGTTAAATTCCATCTAGTTGAACCACTTCACCTGATGGAGCAAATGACGTTGGTAGTGGACCATAATTTCTTTTCAGTGAAGTTTTCTTTTCTTTGTTGTTGTAACTGATGCTTTACCTGTTTGGTGGAGACTGAGAAGCAGGGATGGAATTAGATGACATACCAATGTAGGGTGTGCGTTCTTGTATTATTTCATCATTGTTTTAGTTTCAGCACAGCGTCTTAATTTCATCCAGCTGGCAACTTTCCCAGAACACTTTCCTTCAGTTTTTTAAACTGGGAACCTCTCTTCCTTTTCTCCCAGTTCGTTTATTTTCATTTTGTGTCTGTGTGTACTTGTAGTGAGGGGAGGACAAGAGCCTTCGAAAAAGGTTACACCTTAGGAGCCTGGAAATTGCAGCTTTTGAAGTAGCATTGACACTTTTTTGATTGTTAACCTGTTGCGAGCCTTCTGCTTCCAGAGCAAAATATCTGTTCCTTGAGAGTCTAACTGCAGATAAATGTTGTAGTTTAAAATCTGAAATGCAGCATTTCAAAGATGTGCCATAGTAACTGAAGATTAATTTGGAAATGCTCAGAATTTCTCATTCATTGTTTGGTTTGTAGTTGGGTTTTCTTTTTTCCTCCAAAGGAAAAAATGAACAACTGTCAAAGGAAGTTGATACTAGATTGATAGGTGAACACTGGGTGATATATTGACAGTTGTTGATGTACATCAAGCACTGCTGTTACACAAACAATAGCCTATTGTCACTTGCATGGGAGGCTTGCCATGACCCTGGCCAACACCAAATGGGAGTGGGGTATTTGATACTACTTCTTGATTTGTGTAAGATGTAGATATCTCCCCTGATCTGAGTACCTGCTAGCCTTGAGACAAAGGCGACTTTATGTAAACTTTTAAGTGTTTTTGCATGTTCAAAATATATCAAATGATTTAGAAAACTACATATGCATATTTTAACAAGGAATTTGGGGAAGTGTATGAAATTATTGAAATGCTCATCAGTTATCTAATGGAGATTAGGTGGCATGGTAATGGTGTGAAGAACAATGGCATGGGAAGTTGTTGCATCTTGTAGGCACATACGCATTGATTTGTTATCTTTTTCATTACCGATTTGCTTGGAAAGAACACTGTGCTGCAAAATTAGATGCCTTTACTGCCAGCTGCTGCGGCAATTAAATAATTGAACTGATATGTTCAAGGATACACTTAGAAAAATGAATGAAAATACAGAGGTCTGCACTTTTTTTAAGCATGTCCTCTCATGTCTTCACAGGTTATGGAGACAAAGGATATGCTTTACATTGTTACTGAGTTTGCAAAGAATGGAGAAATGTTTGGTAAGTCCTCACTGCCAGAGCTAACAGTTCTTTAGATTTAGTAACCATGGCTTTATAGTTGTCATTCATGAGTGAAATATATAAATATATATATATATATATATATATATATACACACAGTGATTAAAAATCCAGGGCTGGCATTGTCAGCTGTCAAACAGCGACTGCAGCACCTGCAGGATTATGAAAAATTTCCTCCAGGTGTTTCTAAATCCTCTGCCTTTTTTATTTTGTCTGGCAGATCATCTGACCTCCAATGGGCACTTAAGTGAAAGTGAAGCACGGAAGAAGTTCTGGCAGATTCTTTCAGCAGTGGAATATTGTCACAGCCACCACATAGTGCACAGGGATCTCAAAACAGAAAACCTTCTGCTAGATGCTAACATGAATATCAAGTTAGCAGGTAATAAGAAATATATGGTTGCTCTATAAAGATTAGGCATGTAGTCAAATTCAGTCTCCCTAGGATGATCTTATGCATGTATTTATCGTTACTGAAAATAAACGTTACTGATATTCCTCTGAAGATAACTTCTGGAGCAAAGAGAATAGCCTAAATGAATAGGCAGAGAACAAAACAATACATCTGCTCCCTTCTTTCCATTTTCTGCCACTTCTGAAATCTTAGTATGTGGTTGAGTGACGTCTTACCCCAGACCTTTACCTTCATTTCAGACTTTGGCTTTGGAAACTTCTACAAGTCAGGAGAGCCCCTCTCCACTTGGTGTGGAAGCCCACCTTATGCAGCTCCAGAAGTTTTTGAAGGCAAAGAATATGAAGGACCTCACCTTGATATATGGGTGAGCTCAATATTCCTTAGAAATTGCATTTCACACTTTGTGAGGGTCTGTGGGCTTTCAAAATCATTGCTTCTGCTGGAGTCACTCACATGCTGTGTTGTTTTCTATTGACAGAGCCTTGGGGTGGTGCTGTATGTTCTTGTCTGTGGTTCTCTGCCTTTCGATGGACCCAGTTTACCAACTCTGAGGCAAAGAGTACTGGAGGGGCGGTTCCGCATCCCTTACTTCATGTCCGAAGGTGCTTTTCACAGATCCTTAATGTTAAAAAAGGGGCTACAAATGAAGGACTAGCTGTCCTGTTCCTTCTTGGGGGGCTGGTTTTGCAGCTGGCAATCACTTTGTCTTTATGTAATTTTTGTAGGGCAACAGAGTTGAGGGGCTGGTTGCACACGTTTTCTTTTCTGGGATCTGCTTTATGGTGCATCTAAAAGGCTGTCGTTTCATTTCTTAGAGTATCTCTATGGATTACAAAAATATTTGACACCCTAGCTGGAGAAATAAACTCTCACAAAAGAGAGAAAACTGGAGTTTAGTGAGACTAGCCTGCAGTGCTAAGATGGGTTTAGTTCTCAGATATTTTAACAAATCAGGAGGGGCATATTTCAGTGTATCTGTGCTGTCAATGAGAGCAGAAATAGTGGGGCTTAGCACTGTTTCTTGAGCACTCCAAGAGTCTGGTGAGAAGGTACTGAAGAATAGTATGTATCACCTCTCTGACTTGGATTTGAAAACAAGTGAATGTGCCTCTGTCTTCAAGTGAAAAGAAGAAGTCTGACCTTTATCAGTGACAGCCATGAATGGCTTTGATTCCCTGGTTATAAACAAATAAGCAGTACATACGGACCAGGAGGTTGTATGTGATGGGATTCTGTACTAAATTCTGACCTCTTTTAAGTGGATGTAACATCATTAAACCTGCATCCACTCAACTAGCTCTCCTACAAGGTGCAAGGCCACCTGAAACCTGCCCGTATCCAGTACAGCTTCATTTCCTGTAGTGACGTGTTGCTTTTGTGAAATGGATGTGGACATCTCGTGTGCTGTTTTGAATACCTGGTAGTCAGATCAGCCATCAGCTGCTCAGAAACCTTTAATTCCTGTTTTCACAGACACCATACACTGTTGCTGGGAAGGTTTCTTAGCAGTGACCTTGGGCTGAGCTGTTATTTTTGCCCCTGCTCATGAGTTTGTCTTTGTCATCCAGACTGTGAAACACTAATCCGACGGATGTTGGTTGTGGACCCAACCAAGCGAATAACCATTTCCCAAATAAAGCAGCACAAGTGGATGCAAGCTGACCCATCTCTTCAGCAGCAGCAGTCTTTGTCCTTCTCCATGCAAAACTACAACTCCAACCTGGGTGACTACAATGAGCAGGTCCTTGGGATCATGCAAACACTGGGCATCGACAGGCAGAGAACTGTTGAGGTGAGAAATGCTTGCCCCTTAGATACATCCTCAGTGACTACCAGAATGCCAGTGGTGCAGTCAGATATACATCATTCAGTGACTAGCCTTGATCTGGTGTCACAGTGTAGTAAAATCTTCACTGCCCTTCTGGATTTTTACTTATTTTTTGAGTACGCTATTATGAGGCCTTAGAGATGAGTTTTTCCTGCTTATATTCTGAGTTGCCTGCAACTCAAGGGTCCTTTCAATGTCTTCTAGTCTCTGCAAAACAGCAGCTACAACCATTTTGCTGCAATTTATTACCTGCTCTTGGAGCGCCTCAAGGAGTATCGAAGCAGCCAGCTATCGAGTCGCCCCACAACTGGCCGTCAGCAAAGGCCGAGGAGCTCTGAGATCAGCAGTGTTGAGGTAAGGAAGGGCATTACTTACTGGGAAGCTGTGGCCGTTGGCTCTCTTTTTTTTCTGCCCCTTGCTCTGGGAAAATACAAGATGGCAACTCTCAGGCTTCTGAAAACCAACTCTTATATTGGTTCCCTCTGATAGGACACAGCCTACTGTCCTTCAGCAGAAGGTTGATTTAATATAAATGGCCTGTTTCCTGAGAAGTGACTGTGGGTCATGGTCCAAACAGCCTGCCTCGGGTGCAGGTCAATAATGAGCCAGAAGATTAGGCTTCTCAAGGAAATTTGCCCTCTCAGGCATGGATTGGTTACACTTTGTTACATACCCCATAGGTAGGATCCTCAGAAGTACCCCATGAGTCAGATTGTGTGTTTTTCTGACTTTTTTTCCTCACCCCCACCCCCTTTAAAGTGTGGTCTGGGTGCCTTTTCAAATTGTACTTCCAGTTAAATTGCCTATCTTAGGTGAAGGAGTTTTGTGTTTGTGTTTGCATTGAAAGACTAGCTTTCTTAATCTTCCTAGAAAGTATGTGGAGAAAGCTTGCATGGAAGGTGTCTCTCATACTCCTTGAACCTCCAGTATCTGAAAAGTCATGTGGAACTGCAGTGTATGTGATGGCTTCTGTGCATCGCTCTCTCTCTCCAGATGCCTCAGGACAGTCTCACTAGTGAAACCCTGCGATCATCTTTGCTTTACCAGCAACCTCAGAACCTGATTCAGCCATCCTTGCAGGCAGAAATGGACTGTGAGATGAGCAATCCATTACAGGTTGGTGTTCTCAGCTATACTGTGTATTACTTTTTTTTTTTTTTTTTTAAATTGTTCTGCCAATCCAAAACAACAGGGGTTGTGACTCTGTTCTCTCCCTCCAATCTTTTGTTTGGCATTTGGGCATGGTGTCGTAGTAGCCTCTCAAACAGTATGGCTATTGAAGATGTGCCACAGGGCTGTGAAGAATATTAAAAGGTAGCGCAGAAATAAGTGAAACACCCTTCAGTCTGTGATCTGACATGTTTTGCAGCCTGTGTTCTTTCCTGTGGATCCCAACTTCAACGGGCTCTTCCGGAACCGCTCCATCTCCCCCAACAGCCTGCTAGAGACCACCATTAGTGAAGAAGTGAGGCAAGAGAAGGAGCTGGAAGATGAAATTAAGGCGTATGACCACCCCATCTGCATCCCTAGCAACACCAGCAGGAGGCACACGCTGGCTGAAGTGACCACTCATTTCTATCAGCATGCCCCTCCATGTAAGTAAGTCTGGGAGAAACGAAGGGTGTCAGTAGTTAGAGGAAAAGGACAGAGAAGGAGTGCCATAGCAGACAAATGTCTGAGGAGTATGTGCTGATTTTACTTTCACTGGGATAGGAAGGCCCAGAAAAGAGGTCTGTACTCTGCCCTCCACAATTCTGTCTTCCTATAAATAAGCACGGCCCTTACAGAAGAGGTGTTGCACTGCTGTATTTTATCTAGATCACTTTAGAGGAGAGCGTTCTCGCAAGCAGGACATAACCCTTCTCTGCTTGCTTCCGCTGTTGTACCTGGGGAGGTGATGGTGCCTCCATTAAAAAAAAGTCATCGTAACTGTATTTGGTACACTTCCAGACCCTGTGAACTAAACAAACAAAACTGTTCACAAAACGATAATCCCATGTCAGAGCTGTCGTGCTAAAGAAATGATGTTGGCCTTATCCAGCATAGCCGGGTGGTGCTGGAGTTGCTGGCAGAGCCCAGCCGGCTGGACAGGAGCCCAACCTTAGGTTATTCATTGATGACCTCTTGCTGGAGTCAAGCTCTGTGACAACACGAGTTGCCAGACACCTCTCCACCTCGCAGGTGGTTATTAGTGCCAGTGTAGGTGGGCAGAAGGCTCTGATGTCATGTTTGGTCCTTCCTGTACTCATCTTGGGAATGCTCTTTCTCTCCTTCCTTCCCCTCTGTAGGTATAGTCATTTCCTCTTCTGCAAGCCCAACAGAGGGAACTAGTTCAGACAGCTGCCTTACTTCATCTTCAAATGACAGCTCAGTGGCCCTGAGCAGCTGTTTGGCAGGTCAAGTAATGACGGGGAGCCCGGCCACAGCTAGGATGACGTCGCCCTTCCTAGCTTCCCAGTCTGACGCTCCGGTGTTAGAATCCCAGGGCTGCATGGGAGGTGCTTCTCTCCTGCCTGTCAGCTTCCAAGAAGGAAGGCGAGCATCTGATACCTCATTAACTCAAGGTAATGTCTTCCTTGCTTTATTGCTGGGGGATTGCACTCTTCCGACTGCCACTAGAAAAGGGTAGCATGCAGGGATACTTACTTGCCTGTGTGTGTTACACTGAGGCCAACCACCTGGTTATTACGGCTCTTGTATTCCCGGTCCCTGAGGGAGGGCCAGGTGCCCTGAGGAAGGTGCCTAGATGAGAGGTTCTCAGATACTGATTCAGCGTGCCCGTGAAGATATTTCTGCTGCCATGAGTGGGATGGCAGGCTCCTCCTTCCTCCTAAAATAAGGGGGTGCACAACACAATTTCTGTCGGGTTTCTCCTTTGCTGTGCATGTGTCCATCTACACAGGGATGCAGCTGTCCCAGACCCTGTTCCATTACAGAAGTTTTGCTCTGTCCGTCAGACAGAGGGGTGAACGTGAACTGGAGAGTCACGGTCTCTTCTAGCGCAGTTCTCACGCAAATGAAGGCAGCTGCCCAGAAAGGCTGATCTGTAAAGCAGGCTCCTAGGCAAATGCTAAGGAGGATTAAAGTGCATTTCTTTTCCTCATGTCCCACAGGCTTGAAGGCTTTTAGGCAGCAGCTGCGGAAGAACGCTCGAGCCAAGGGCTTTCTCGGCTTGAATAAAATCAAAGGCTTTGCTCGGCAGGTGTGTCAGTCCTCCTCATCTCGGGCAGCAAGGAGTGCCATGAGCCCGTTCCAACACACACAGCCAAACACCTGCATGTACAGCAGCAGTGGAAGTGGCAGAGAGGGACGAAGCCTCCTGGAGGAGGTGCTACAGCAGCAGAGGTGAGAAGCTGACTGGGAGGAGTTTTGCTGTTTTCACTGCGTTTACTTTGGTTAGGGGCAAGTGAGGAGGAGTAAACACAGTAAAAGAGGTTGGGGAGTTTGGTCACTGGGGATTCCTATCCTCCATCTTTGCTGTGTGGCAGCAGATAAACTGCTTGGCTTCCTTTGTGGCTTCCTGCACTGGCATACGTAACACAGGATGTGCAGTTCCACTTAAAAATCTCGACATCCAAATATTTGGAGGTTGCTGAATTGAGAAGCAATTTGGTACTGTGGGGGAAAACATTACTTCTCCCCATTGCAAGCTGTATTTTTCTTTGTTAGTTTTGGGAATGATTCCTTTCCTCCTCTGCCTTCTCCTGTAATTTTCCCATGGCAAGGAAGCGAGACCTTGTAATTTGGAAAAGTTACAGCCCACAAAGGAGGCACAGTTCCAGTGGCCTCAAATGTCATGTGTGGTGGCACCTCTTCATTCCCATAGATGCAAGATGGAAAATTGAGTTTCCGGTTTATCTGCACACGTTGTCTCTAGAACATCTATTATTAGCAGGCCAAACGGTGACTAGATAACTTTCTGGTGATAGTCGTCCTCTCCAACATGAGGAAAAGCCAACTGAAAACATGTTGACCTGGCATGGTCAGCTTGCTTTAATTGTACTGGCTGGGTAAGGAGACGTTTGATAGAGAGAAGGAAACAAAGGGGAAAGTTATGGTCAGAACCAGGGCCAAGAAAGGAGGAAGAAAAGCACTAGGCCATCCTAGCAGTGCAAATTAACCTCTTCTACCCTTGGATTTTGTTCAGAATGCTCCAGCTGCAGCACCACCAGCTACTCCAGGCAGCTTGTCCCCAGACTTCTCAGACATCTGCAACAAATGGCGTCCCCTCCTCTGACAGCATAGGTACCTGCAAAGCATCCAATTCTCTTCTGTTGTCAGAGCTACAAAGAGAGAACTCATTTGAGCTGGCCTTTGCTGGCAACAGCCAACTGCTCCAACCTCATTTCTTCGGTGTCAGCGTGTCACCGGTGTCCTCAGCAGCTCACCTTTTAGACACGCACCTGTACATCAGCAGCAACGTTTCTCCAGTTGGCGCCACCTTCTCTCAGCAACAGAGTTTCTCTGCGCAGTCTCCGAGCTATGACACTGTCACTCTGCAGCACGGGGATTGTGAGATGGAGGACCTGACTTCAAACCAGCTAGGGAAGTTTGTCCTGGTCAAATGAGAGCCCCAGCTGCTGCAGCTCACGCTGCTCTTGCTGCGAAGAACTTTCACCACTGTTCCATGGTGTGTGTGGATCCATGGCTGGCTGGTGTCGTGTGGACGAGTGACTCTCAGAAGCAATAAATTTTGAAGTATGTGAAGAGGCTGTCTGGCTCAGAAAGCTAGCAACTTTATAGAACTGAAACAAGCAATATGTATGTCTTTTTGCTTCTACTATTCTTGCACTGAACAAATATGAATAGAAACTGAATTTTTTAAAGGAAAAATAATGGTGGGGAAGATGGGTGGGGCATTTGTGGGGACAGGGAGGGATGTGGTTGGGGAAGAACTCTTCGGTACTGTACTCAAGTCAGACCAATACAGCTCTGCTGTTATGCAAGATTAGCAGCTGTCAGTAGTGGTGACACAGCAGGGAGAGGCTTTTCAAAGAAGGGACCAGAGCCTCCCTTTTTCACAATATTCATTTATGGGTTTGTGAAGATGATTACCTCTTTTAAAGAAAATAAACAGAAAACCAGTGGCATGCAGCATTATGCATTCATAGAAGACAAAAATGGAAGCATTGCCATTTGTTGGGGATTTTTTTCCTCCTGTTAACACTCATGTTATTTAAAGGAACCAACATCCCCATTCCACACCTCCCAGATACATATACTTTAAATGAAAACTGTGAACTTCTTGCTTGATACATCAGCTGGAAAAGCTTAAAAAGCCCTTCTAATTAGTACAGAAGCAAGTAATCTGTAGAAAATGTATCCCTTGATATCAGGATCCAAATTGCATAATGTCTGGTCTTTTGCAGGGATGTTTGTTTGGGGGTGGTGGGGGTGTGTGTGTGTGTGTATACATATGCACACATGCACACATGCATATATTTTGTCAGTCTGAATAATCTGTGGGAATCTTCTTATAAACACTAAGTTTTTTCATATTCTTGCAGAGACACTGAGGACGGAAGCATTAGTGCTGGTGGGGTGATAGGAAGGGTTTTCTTTTTAAAAAGCCCTCCTGGAGGTTGCTTACAAAGTTGCCTGAGGGGTATTTCTTAGTGCTGCACATTGTTATTTCCGCTGCTAATTATGTTTTTATGCATTTCATTATCAGGGTCCAAACAGAACTGACTCTTGGGGAAATGTGCAATATTGAGGTTATAATTATATACTGACAAAGACAAAAGGAATAGGCTAGAACAGAATTCTACTCTAACGGAGTACAGCTATTTCTGAACAAAACTGTATTAAAAGTGAGTAAAACAGCACAATCTTTGGGTGTTTGTTTTTGGTTGGTTTGTTTTTGGCATATTAGCAAAATGAGGTTTTTGGATTAGATAGGTGTTTTCGTATGGTTTTTAATGCTGTATATGTATATAAATAGGAAGCAGAAAACTATATAACACTAGTTATTTTTTATATTTTGTAATATGCTTATATTGTGTTTCTGGTATAAACCCCACTCCCAAGGCAGAGCATGACTTCTGTTGGTATCAACAGAAGTTATGCTTGCGTATAAAGGGGAGAAGAGACTGTGCTCCTACAGAAGTAAGTCGAGTAGGGCGTGCAAACTTTGGAAGCAGGTGAGCAAACAGTGAGCCAGCTTGGCTGGAAGCTGCCATCCGACTGTCAGAAAATAGCTGCATTCTGTCAAATGCTTAAAGGACCCATCTCCCGAGTGTGACACAGGGTGCCTTCAAGTTACCTTGGCTTTGTGCAACCTGCAGTATTACGCATTTGCAAATAATATAGATACTGTTTTTTCGTTTGTTTCATTTAAAAAAAAAAAACAACAACAACAAAAAAAGCCAAAGATTGACCAGGTTAATTGGTGGTAGTAGGAAGGGTTGAAGATGTCATGTGGCTCTGTCTGTGGCTCTCCATAAACAACCTCTTTATCTGTGTGTTGTATCTGTGTGTCTATATTGGTGCATCTCCAGCTTGCCACTGCTGCTACATGGTCTGGAAGCTTCAAAGTGAGAAAAAATTGCTTGAGTTGAATTTCTGTTAATGAGTGGTGCCTTGCAGCAGAGAAAACACCAAAGTCTCATGCTCATTTGTAGTGGTTTGGGAAAAAAAAAAAAAGACAAACCCAAAAAAAAACCTGATTGCGTGGAGATGGCTGGAGAGGAGGGCAAGAAGAAGCCAGCTCATCACAAAGCAGCAACTTTGCCTTCAGTTTTGTAAGGGGTAGCACACATACTTAAAACGCAGAATTTCCTCTTCAATATTTGTTTTGTTTAATGCCATGGATCAAAAGGCCACAGATTCTTTTGTTTCCTGTCCTGAGCAATGACAAGCACTTTACTTTCATAGTATTTTTTTTCTTTTCCAGTTGCTGTAGAACCTCTTTGGAATTATTGCTGGAGCAGAAAGAGGTCATTTTAAAAGTTTGGGTTTTTTTGTAGATATCTTGACAGTGCTGTTCTGCAGACTGCAATGCAATAGGGTATTTAAAGACACTATGTGATTGGTTTAATTAAGATGTATAGTTTATTTTTTATCATGACTGAACAATCATTTTATTTCTTATGTTAAAATGAGAGGTGTACACCAAAATGATTAGTTGATGTGTTTTATTTAATATTTAAATAAAAACTGTTTTAAAATTGTTGTCCTGCAGATAATTCTGTGGAGTATTTTCTCCTGATATATACATACAACTTGCATAGTTAGGACTCATTTTAAAGCCTAAGTCCATAGGACATTACTGACACTTTCTATTACTCGCTAAATGAAGAGGAATGGCGGGTTTGCAAATCTGATAATGGGATATTGAGCCTTTCGTTGGTAGGCAATCTGTTTGAATCTAACCCAAGTCTGTAGTAATCGGGTTATAAAATCTGACAGTAAGGGAGGTCTGCGGAGTGAGAAATGGTCAAGCGTGGTTTAGTAGTTACCAGATGAGCACTCTGTCTGTGTCACCTTGGTCTGAAAGAGGCCCCAGCCAGATTAAGGCAGTGACAGAAAAAGAGCAAAGGGAGGGAGGGATTCCAGGGGTGCCAGATTTCCTCCTGTAAAATGTAATTTGAGAATTAAAAGAGTTCTGGAAAGGTACAGGCTTGGCTGGGCTGGGAATGGGTGTGCAGCACTGTCTGCCCTGCCCTGCAGAGATGCCTCGGCTAGTTTTGAACAAGCGCAGGTCCCCGCTGCGACCATGCGCTGCCCTCGCCGAGGTGGGGACGCACCTCGGCCCTGTGTCCTCGCCTCGAGTGGGGATGCACCTTGGCTCTAACGAAGGCACCCAGCGCAGCTGCATTGCAAACTGAGCCGGTGGCACTGAAGCTGGTGGGGATGTCATTTACCACTTGTGGGCTGGAGAGGGAATGGCCGAAAGGAGGGGAAGGGGGTGTGTGGCAGGAGGCTGCAGGGGGAAGGGGCCTGGGGGGCCATGCAGGGGGGAGAGTGGAGAAGGAGAGGCCGGCCTGATGTGCCTCTCAGAGGCTGTGGAACCAGGTCCTTTGTCTCTTCTACGGTTTTACTTCACTCGCTCTGTGTTTCCTTTGAACCTTTGAGAGATGCACAGCCCTGGGCTGTCATCTGCACAGCATCCACCCAGGGTGTGAGCAATAGAAGGCTTTGTATTCTGCACATGCAGTTAGAATGAGGGCAAGAGGTGTTTCATCTGCAAAGGTACCCCCAATATTTGCAACCTCTGGTTTAACTTGGCAAACACTCGGGAAAAAAAAAAGAAAAAAAAGAAAGGGGGGGGGGCATGGATTTTTTCTTCCCAATGAACAATGGTGGGTTTTTTTGAAAGATCCTCATTCTGAGTTTTTATTTTCAAATCCACTTATTGCATTTCGAAGAGAGGGGAGAGTGGTGGGAAGGTAAATCCAAAAAGTTAAACAAAATCTTGGGGACAATAGAGATAATATTTACTTATTTTGCTTTATAAAGGAGTTGTTTGCTGAGCTGGAATTTGTAGAGCTCTGTATGCCTTTGCTATGACTCTCCAACTGGTAGAAAAGCACATGTTTTTCTAGGGTTGTGTTTTCAATGTGACCATCTGAAGTTAGGAATTTTGCAACTACTAAAAAATAAGGGAGTTATTCTTAATTATTTTTAATCTAGCTTTTAGTATGACCTGGTTTAAGAATAATCCCAACTGCTGTTTTCAGCTGGGTTCTCAGGGCATTATTTTAAACCCCAGTAATTCTGGGAAATCTCAGAAAGTTGCTTCTTAAAGGACATAAATCAGTGCAGCTCCACCAACTTCCATTGACATCACTGACCCTTGGGTATAGAGGCATCTTGACAGCATCAGGATTTCTGTGAAATGGTAGGAAAAACAAGAACAAAGAAACCCTGGGACTCTGGACTCAGTTTCCATGTGTACACTGTTTCACTCTTAGTGCTTTAGTCACTGTCTTCCTGCTTTTCCTCTGAAATCTGTCTCTGCTCCTGTTTACCACATTTGTTTTTGTCTTTAATATCTCTCAAGATGCTGTTTTTCTTGGCTTCATTTCTCACATTACAACTTGGTACCTAGTTCCTTTTCCTTTCTTTCCCAGTCCAGGATCGGTGTTTTTTCCCCTCCCCCTTTCAGATGGAACAGATGCTGGCAAGTTTAACATTGCCCCAGAAGTGAATGATCAAACCTTGTGGGGTTTTTTAAAAAAAGGAAATGCTTGGAGCTGGCAGAAGATGCTAGACTGGCAGCAATGAAAAACACAGGCTGTTTTTGTGTGGAGCAAGCCGAGTGCAGACACCAAGCCGAGCACTCTGGTGTCAGCGTGGTCCAGCCATGGTAGCAAGGGGTTCTCACTGGTCTGTCTCCTCTTGCCCTCTGGCAGGCAACGCATAACTCGTCTCCAGACCCACGACCTTCTCCTTTGCTGTGGCCAGAGCAGCAGTCACACCTCAGTGAGGAAAGGATTTCCTCATGGTGAAAGGCATCGCCGTGTAATCTTGGCCTGTGTCAGCTGGAAAGGAGAATTGGCAGAAGGGAGAGCAGTTGAACGTACAAAATTATGCTGCATGAGATAGAAAGTGATCACTACTTCCGTTTTACTCATCCTGCAAAGTGAGAATAAGGCACGCTTCATGCAACGAAGGAGAATTAATTTAAGAACTGAAAAAAGGAAATATGTGCCTCTGGAGGACATTGCTTCAAATACAGTTGCTGGCTTATTTCATGACTGCTAACTACTTCTAGTGGTGACAGTTAAATCAATGATAAAGGTAATCCACTGTCATGGTTTATGGATTTAGCAGAACATCTGTGGGAGATCAGGAAAGACCTGGTTTTGGGTACAGACTGCCAGGGGCATGATAGATAGATTTTTAGGACAGAAATGCCTTTCTTCTGAGGCATCAGATATTAGTTCCTGCCAAAGGCAAGACATTCGTGTGAGGTGAACAAACTTGATCATCACCTGCAATAAATTGCAGTTTCTTAATATACCTCTTATATCAAATGTAATGTCTTACACAGTGGTTCAGACCAAAGCTGATCAGGCAGCTCATTTCAGAAGCAGAGTCTTAGAGAAAAGGTGTAAGGACCGGGCAAGCATAGCACAGTCCCTCTTGTGGTATTACCAGCTCAGCAGAGAGCAGACTGCGGTTAAGGGAATTTTTGACTGGCATCTGGCTCATTGTGTTTAACAGCTGCAGATGGGTCGAGCCTCCAAGAATTTGGCTAACTCCTTTTGGGATTCTTTTATAATTCTGACCTTCACAGCATCCTGTGACAACGAGTGGCATAATTCAATTTTGCATCGTGTGAAAGAAGTACTTCCTTTTCTTTGTATTAGACCTCCAGCCCAATAGATTGGGTTGTGCTGCCTTTCTCTTGTGATAGCAGACACAACGAGTAATGCTTTCCTGCTCACACCTCCACGCTGCTCATGAGTTGTCGGGACCTCTCTCACACTCCTTTTCTGTGGAGGTGACTGAGCAGAACTCTACTGTATAGTACCCTCCCCACCCATGGAAACCACTGCACATTTCCATGCCATCTCTTCTGTATCTTCATCGATTCTTCTGCATCCTCCTTGGTGTATGCAGAGCTGCATGCTGTGTTTGAGGCAGGGGTACCCTAGAAATCATCACTTTTTCATTCTCTCTTAATTCTGTAGTCATTCCTAAAGGTCTTTTCTGCCCTGTTGACAACTGTTGAACAGTGAGCTGGATTTTTCAGCAAACATGGGGACTCTGAGGTTTCCTTCTTGACTGATGTTAATTTAGAGTCCCTGGTGGGTTTTGTGTAGCTGGGGTTGGTTGGTATGGCTGCTTGCTTTGTATTTGCTGCTGGCAAGTTTCATATGTCATTTCAACACGCTGTCATTCAGTTTTCTGAGACCACTTGGTTGCAGTTGGATCTTCTATGAATACGCTGAGTTGCCCAGGTTTTGACACGAATGCATTTGCAATGCCTGAACTCTCACTCTACAGACTTTGCTCTTTCCTGTTCTATCACATATCTAGCTATTCTGCTCTTTGTTATACTTTCCGTCAATTCGCATTGCCCAGCTTTCCAGCCCACAGGTCTCTGGATGGCCTCTAAAAGCCCTTTTTAAAAATGAATGTAACATTTGCCACCTTCTACTCCTGTGGTGCCTCGCCGTTTCAACAGCTGCTGTGGTATTGTACTGAATAGGTCAGCAGTTTCAAGTCTGAGTTCCCTCAGAGCTCTTGAGTGAAATCGTCTGGTCCCAGCAATCCGCTAATATTACTTTTATTGTTTTATCCTAAGATCTCTTCTACTGACAGTTGAATTTTGGAGAGTTTCTGAGGCTTGTTCCCTGTGCAGCCAGCCACTGGAGTGGGGCTGGAGTGGGCCATGAAATGGAGCAGAACTACCATGAGTGGACAGATGGGACTGCATAGCCAGCAGCCAAGCCACACAGACCACATGCTGTCCCTTTTGCACCTCACAGGCAGGTGACAAAGCAGTGACAGCAGGGTGGACACTGGGGAGTGCCCAGGTCAGCCCAGCAGGCCCCTCGTTATGTCCTCCAGAGATGACCGAGCCTTTCTCCATTTACTCCGTTTACAGAGATGCAGAGTTTTTTATGGATTGCTTCATCAACTGATGTAAACTATTGTTGTTAAATCAAACCTAATGCAGCAACACTGCTTTATGATATAAACGCTATTAACAGCACATTAAGACTCTGACCTCCAGAGCCAGACAATCTCATCCTTTGTTT